AATAGAATTATCAACACACAAAATCTAAGAGAACCTACAGTCAAATCACTAGAAGTGATTGAATTCCACAAGGTTACCAGACACAAAAGCAATAGTGTTCCTGAATACCGACAATGAACAATGAGAAATGTATGATTTTTTTCGCTGGGCATGGTGGCTCACACCTTTAATCCCAGCACTTTGGGAGGCTGAGGTGGACAGATCACTTGAAGTCAGGAGTTCGAGACCAGCACCGTCTCTACTAAAAATACAAAAATTAACCAGGCGTGGTGGCACGTGCCTGTAGTCCCAGCTACTCAGGAGGCTGAGGCATGAGAATCACTTGGATGGAGGAAGCAGAGATTGCAGTGAGCCAAGATGGAGCCACTGCACTCCAGCCTGGGTGACAGAGTGAGACTCCATCTCAAAAAAAAGAAATATGGCCGGGCGCGGTGGCTCAAGCCTGTAATCCCAGCACTTTGGGAGGCCGAGGCGGGTGGATCACGAGGTCGAGAGATCGAGACCATCCTGGTCAACATGGTGAAACCCTGTCTCTACTAAAAACACAAAAAAGTAGCTGGGCATGGTGGCGCTTGCCTGTAATCCCAGCTAGTCAGGAGGCTGAGGCAGGAGAATTGCTTGAACCCAGGAGGCGGAGGTTGCGGTGAGCCGAGATCGCGCCATTGCACTCCAGCCTGGGTAACAAGAGCGAAACTCCATCTCAAAAAAAAAGAAAAAAAAAAAAAAAGAAATATATGATTTTAAAAGAAATTACTTAAAAGAGCAACAGAAACCACAAGGTGTCTAAGAATAAACTTGCCAAAAGATATGTAAGATGCTACATCACAATTATAAGACTTTATTAATGGTCATCAAAGGAAAATGTAAATAGACAAACATTCCACATTCACAAATATGAAAACTTATCATTGTGATGGCAATTCAGTTCTAAATTAATCTGTAAATTAAATAGAATTTCGACCTAACATGGGTTTTTCATGGAACTTTACAAGGTGATTCTAAAATTCTTATGGAAGAAGAAAAATATTAACAAGGATGGACTTACCCAACAAGATGTCAGATTTACCATAAAGATTTGATCGTAGTTCAGGGATTAAGAAGAAGACTAATAAGAGTGTTAGATTGAATGTTTGTGTCTCCCACCCTGCAAAATCAGATGCTGAAGCCCTAAACCCCCGTGTAGCTATACTTAGAGATGAGGCCTCTAAGGAAGTAATTAAGGTTAAATGAGGTCAGAATACTGCAGCCCTGATCCAGTAAGTTTCTTATTTTTTTGTTTGTTTTGAGACAGTGTTTCACTCTTGTCACCCAGGCTAGAGCGCAGTGGCCCAATCTCAGCTCACCGCAACCTCCGCCTCCCAGCTCAAGCGATTTTCCTGCCTCAGCCTCCCAAGTAGCTAAGATTACAGGCGTGTACCACCATGCCAGCTAATTTTGTATTTTGGTTTTGTTTTTTTGTTCTTTTGAAATGGAGTTTCGCTTGCTGCCCAGGCTGGAGTGCAATGGTGTGATCTTGGCTCACCATAACCTCTGCCTCCCAGGTTCAAGAGATTCTTCTGCCTCAGCCTCCCAAGTAGCTGGGACTACAGGCATGTGCCACCATGCCCAGCTAATTTTTTGTACTTTTAGTAGAGACAGGGTTTCACCATGTTGACCAGGATGATCTCAATCTCTTGACCTCATAATCTACCTGCCTTAGCCTCCCAAAGTGCTGAGATTACAGGCGTGAGCCACCATACCTGGCCTAACATTGTATTTTTACTAGAAACAGTGTTTCGCCATGTTAGACAGGCTGGTCTTGAAGTCCTGAACTCAGGTGATCCACCTGCCTTGGCCTCCCGAAGTGCTGTGATTACAGGTGTGAGCCTGGCCAATAAAGTCTCTTTCTAAGAAGAGACTAGAGAATTCTCTCACTTGCTCGCTGTCTACACACACACACACACACACACACACACACACACACACGCATGCATCAAAGAGAGGCCATGTGAAAACGTAGTGAGAAGACAGCCATCTGCAAGCCAGGAAGAGAGCCCTTACCAGAAACGAAATTTTCTGGCACCTTGCTCATGGACTTCTAGCCTCCAGAACTGCCATAAAGTTAATGTCTGTTGTTTAAGCCACTCAGTCTAGGGTATTTTATCATGGCATCCTGAGCAGACTAATACAGGAATAGAAAAGAGAACTCAGAAATAGACCTATAAACATATGGCAACTTGGTATATGACGGAGGCAGCATTATAAAACGGTTGAATAGAATATTCAGTAAATGTCCCTGGGATTTATGGAGAGAGAAGAAGGGAGGGAGAAAGAGAGAGACTATGTATCCCATTAAAATAAAAACTTTTCAGCCAGGCGTGGTGGCTCACACCTGTAATCCCAGCACTTTGGGAGGCCAAGGCAGGCAAATCATGAGGTCAGGAGATGGAGACCATCCTGGTTAACAAGGTGAAACCCCATCTCTACTAAAAATACAAAAATTAGCTGGGTGTGGTGGCGCACTCCTGTAGTCCCAGCTACTCAGGAGGCTGAGGCAGGAGAATCACTTGAACCCAGAGATGGAGGTTGCAGTGAGCCCAGATCATGCCACTGCACTCCAGCCTGGCAACAAAGCAAGACTCCATCTCAAAACAAATAATTATATGTATATGTATGTGTATATGTGTGTGTGTGTGTGTGTGTGTGTATATATATAGTGTGTGTGTATATATATATATGTATGTATATATATGTTAAAACTTTTCAACAGAAGACATCGTAGGCTGGGTACAGTAGCTCACACCTATAATCCTGGCACTTTGGGAGACTGAGGTGAGAGGATCACTTGAGTCCAGGACACCAGTCTGGGCAACATAGGGAAACCCTGCCTCTACAAAAACAATTTTTTTAATTGCACAGTGGCAAGGACCTATAGTCCCCGCTGAGGCTAAGGTGGGGAGGACTGCTTGAGCCCAGGAGGTCAAGACTGCATTGAATAGTAGAAACACCCTGTCTCTCATTTCACTCATTCCTATAGTAGACTACATCAGTTAAAAGTAATAAACATATTTCTCAATGTGGCTAAATCTAAAAAGATTTTTTAAGTTTAAAAAGCAAGCATTGGAAGGTAGGATACTTTTTATTTAAATATAAAAAGTGTATTTTGAAATACACAAAATAGGCCAGGTACGGTGGCTCACGCCTGTAACCCCAACACTTGGGGAGGCCGAGGCTGGCGGATCACGAGGTTAGGAGATCGAGACCATCTGGCCAACATGGTGAAACCCTGTGTCCACTAAAAATACAAAAAAATTAGCCAGGCGTGGTGGTGCATGCTTGTAGTCTCAGCTACTTGGGAGGCTGAGGCTGAGAACTGCTTGAACCCAGGAGGCAGAAGTTGCAGTGAGCCGAGATTGGACCACTGCACTCCAGCCTGGGCGACAGAACAAGACTGTCTCAAAAAAAAAAAAAAAAAGAAAGAAAGAAATACACAAAATAGTATACATTGTTTATGAATATATAATATGTAGAAACGCACAAATTCAGGTGGGTAAATGCGCATCAGCTTCCAATGTGTGACTGTCTTTGGGAGGACAAAAGTTGGAGGAGGGAGGTGAGAGGGACAGTAAGAGGGGGGGAAGTGAAGGGGCTGCACTTCCGTCCGTGAAGCTGGACTTCTTGTTTCCAAAGAGGCCTATAGGGGACATTTGCAAGATGTTAACATCTGTTAAATTTCAGTGGCTCCTGGCCTGGTGGAGGTGGGAGTTGGGGTAGGATGTTCTATTATTTTCTGAGCATTTGAAATGGATCAAAATTCAAAACATTAAAAAGGAAAAGGCCTGAAACAAAGTGGCCAGGGAAGGACAATAGCAGGAAATGGCATTATAGAAACCAAGGGAAATGGCAGGTGTCTTCCGGCGCTGCAGGATCAGCTGCTTGTCACCCCATCCTCTAGCCCCAGGAGTGATGCAGGAGGAAGCCAGCCTGCTTTTGGCCAGCTCTGAGGAGTTTGGCAATGCCTTGTCATAGTGTGAGGGAAACAAGTATATGGGGAGAGCGAGATTGAAGTCACAGGGGATGGGCAGGAGGGCTGATGAAGGAAGAGGAGGCAAGGAGGGGAAGAGGCCTAGGAAGTCAGGCCAACAGCAGGGGGTTGCAGAGGAAGATGCCAGGCTCCCAATGACATGCTGTAGTCCATCAGAGCCAATGCAGCCCATCCAGACTCCAGAGAGGGGAGCTGTCCCTGGAAGCTGAAAGGCAGTGGTGGAGTCCTTAAGAGGGACTTCATGACATTTCATAGTTGTATATTTATTTAAATGAGTGTTGGCGGGGCACTTTGGCTCATGCCTGTAATCCCAGCACTTTGGGAGGCCGAAGCAGGTGGATCGCTTGAGTCCAAGAGTTTGATACCAGCCTGGGTAACATGGTAAAACCCCATCTCTACTAAACACACACACACACACACACACACACACACACACACACACACACACACAAATTAGCTGGGCATGGTGGCACACACTTGTAGTTGCTGCTACTCAGGAAGCCAAGGTGGGAGAATCACCTGAGCCTGGGGAGGTCAAGGCTGCAGTGAGCAGAAATTATACCACTGCACTCCAGTTTGGGTAATCGGAGTAAGACCCTGTCTCAAAAAATAAAAAATAAAAAGAATAGGAGTATTGGTGGGAGGAAACATAAGCAGAAACCAAATGTGTGATTTCACAGAGAGATGGTAGAAGAGGGTGCTGGTGACTTCACAGCCTTCGGTACAAGGGCATTTAAGCATCCTGGGCATTTAAGCATCCTGGACATTTTAGGTTTAGATTTAAAAAGCCCAGCAGGAGGGTCACAGATCTGCCCACCTAGCCCAGTGTGCATTTATCTTTATGCATACATTTTTAAAGCAGGTGGAAGTTTGCAAATCATTCCTTTGGAGGAAGCTAGCCAGGGTGCAGTGTTTGTTGATGGGGAGGAGCGGGGCCTGGCTTTGTCCTGAGGCTGACTCATCTCTCCACCCTCAGGACCTCTTCAATGACTTGTTCGCCTTTGCGTTTCTTGTGGGAGCCATGGTCTTCGCTGTGACAAGTCGGCAGTCCATGCATCTCCACTACTTACTTGGTGTGGTGAGTCTTTCCATGTTGGGCCATGTATTTGCTCTGAATTCCCCTCTCTTGGAGGATAGGTGTTGTCCCCTGTTTAAGGAAAGGGCTTCTTTATTTTTCACAAAAATCTTGGGATCAAGGCAAAGTTTAAAAGTTAAGTAGGCCAGGCACAGTGATCATGCCTTTAATCCCAGCACTTTGGGAGGCCAAGGCAGGTGGATCACTTGAGGTCAAGAATTTGAGACCAGCCTGGCCAACATGGCAAAATACAAAAATACAAAATTTACAAAAATATGAAATTTACAAAATGTAATAGAAAATTTATTTTCTACTAAAATACAAAAATTAGCCAGGCATGATGGTGCATGGCTGTAATCCCAGCTACTTGGGAGACTGAAACAGGAGAATCACCTGAACCCAGGAGGTGGAGGTTGCAGTGAGCAGAGACTGCACCACTGCACTCCAGCCTGGACAACAGAGCGAGACTTAGTCTCAAAAACAACAACAAAAAAAGTAAAATAGACATATTTCCAATGGAGCCACCATTTAAATAAAGATGATATCCGGGGAGCCAGCCCAAGCTCCAACCCAGAGCAAACGGTCCCACCCTGGCTGGGTTTAAAGAGAAAAAAGAAACAGAGGTGAGAAGACAGGATGAGGGAGTGGAGAAGGCAGAGGTGAGGGAGTAGACAGGCTCCAAGCCTCTCGGGACTGCTCGTCATTCGAGGGGACACAGGGGACATGTGAAACAGCACCCACTGATAAATGAGAGAGCAGGAGGGAAACTGGCCACCTTGGGAATGGAAAGCAGGAGTCACGAGGACCTTTTGTTTTCCAGATCCTTATGGGTTTGGCTGCATTTTTTGCTTTTATCGATGTGTGTCTTCAAAGAAACCACTTCAGAGGCAAGAGGGCCAAAAAGTATACACTGGTTCCTCCTCCAGGAAAGGAAAAAGGACCCCAGCAAGGCAAGGAACCAGAGCCCGCCAAGCCACCGGAAGCTGCCAAGACACCGGAGCCGGCAAAGGGAAAGAAATGACTTGGTGGGGACTCCTGGTGTCTGAAACAGCAGTGGATTGTACAGCAATGTTTCCACTCTCTGCCTTGTCTTCTTTCTAGAATGGTTTTCTTTTCCATTTTAATTACCACCTTTGCTTGGAAAAGAATAGATTAATAGATTCTAAAAGCCTAAAGTTGATGTAGCATTATTTTGTTCATTCAGCAAAAGTTACTGTCAGGTGCAGAGGGCGAGGCCAGGCAGGGCCTGGGAGCCAGGGCTCCTGGAAGTGCTCCCAGGATACTGGGCACCAAGGGCCTGAAGTGTAAGTATTGCCAGCTAGCAACCCCAACCAGCCAGTGGAGGGGGGGTGCGGTGGGGGGGCAGAGGAAGACGAGAAACCAGAAAACAAAAGGATCACTTTGTTCACACTTATTTAATTTTACTTTTTAAAAAAACCATCCAAGCAATTGTTATGAGAAAAATAAGTTTGTTGGCCTTCCTTGCAGTTTAGTAATTTTTTTTTTTTTTTTTTGAAACTGAGTTTCACTCTCGATGCCCAGGCTGGAGTGCAATGGCACAATCTCAGCTCACTGCAACCTCTGCCTCCCAGGTTCAAGCGATTCTCCAGCCTCAGCCTCTGGAGTAGTTGGGACTATAGGCATGTGACACCACGCCTGGCTAATTTCTTATATAGTAGAGATGGGGTTTCACCATGTTGGCCAGGCTGGTCTCGAACTCCTGATCTCAGGTGATCCACCCGCCTCAGCTTCCCTGGGTGCTGGGATTACAGGTGGGAGCCACCGCGCCTGGCCTGCAGTTTAGTATTGATCCTCACTGAGGTTCACTCTGGTGGAGGTGAGGAGGGCAGGGGGTGTCATCTCAGGGCTCAGGGCCTCCAAGGGCCTGAGTCAGGCTGGCATATGGGCTGAGCAAGGCAGGCACAGGAGGAGCCTAGGGGCTATTTCCCTCTGGGGCCTTGGAGTATCTCCCTCCACTGATGACCTGAACATAAGGCCTGGAGTCCCCACACGCAGGCCTTGCAGGTCTTTCTACCAGGGAAGGCCCTACTCTCACTGGAGAATCCAGCAATCCTGGCAGGGGATGGGCTGCCTCCATAAAAGGAAAGCCAGACCCCAAACTGACCCATGAGGAGCCGGAAGAGGGTCTGTAGGGAGGAAGCGTGGAGCCCAAAACCCAGCCTGGGAGACAGGCTGGGAGGGTCCACTGAGCCATGGGGACACGATCATGACTCCGGCCAAGGGGATCACTGAAGGCTGCGAGGAGACCACGTGCTCAGCTGCTGCTGCAAAGTTGTGCAGGAGGAAGGAGGCCCTGCAGGTCCTTCAGGTGGGGAGACAGGTAGCTGGCGGCCCCTAGGGGAGAAGACCTGGAACTCGAGGTGGCCCCAGGCTCCTCTACCTTCAAGTCCACTGCCCGCTCTGTAGCCTCACAGCACCCCCTGCAGGCCAGGCAGTGTGAGGCACACCTACCTGTAGCTTTGTAGAGAAAAACAAAAATGCAGGCTACCCTGCCACATGACCCAGAATTCTTCTCCTATGTATTTAGCCAAGAAAAACGGTATACTAGAATGTTTGTGACAGCCAAAAACTAGAAAGAGCCACATGTTCAAAAGGAGGTAAATGTGCTACATTCAGAAAACAGAATGCACTACTCAGCAATTAAAAAAAAAAAACTATGAATACAACAACATGTGTGGATTTCACATTATAGAAACATACCATATGATTCCATTTCAAAACAGTTCAGGAATAGGCAAAATACAGTGAAAGAAAGCAGTAGTTGCCTCAGGAGGTGGAGGTTGGAGATTGATTACGTAAACCAAAAAGTATCTGAGACAGGCCACAACTGATTTAGAAGTTTATTTTGGCCAGGCGCGGTGGTCCATGCCTGTAATCCGAGCACTTTGGGAGGCCAAGGTGGGCAGATCACTTCAGCCCAGAAGTTTGAGACCAGCCTCCCCAACATGGTGAAACCCCATCTCTACTAAAAATACAAAAACTCACCAGCTGTGGTGGCAAGCACCTGTAGTCCCAGCTACTTTGGAGGCTGAGGCAGAAGAATCGCTTGAACCTGGAAGGTGGAGGTTGCAGTGAAGCAGAGGTTACAATCAAGCCACCACACTCCAGCCTGGGCGACAGAGAGAGACCTTATCTCAAAACAACAACAACAAAAAGTGCCATGGTTAAAGACAATGTGCCAAAAACAGGTCTGTGCCTTTCTGCAAAAATGATTTTGAGGGCTTCAATATTTATTTATTGGGTGGGGGTGGAGTCTTGCTCTGTTGCCCAGGCTGGAGTGCAGTGGCGCAAAATTGGCTCACTGCAACCTCTACCTCCCAGGTTCAAGCGATTCTCCTGCCTCAGCCTCCCAAGTAGCTGGGACTACAGGCACCCACCGTCACACTCAGCTAATTTTTTCTTTTTCTGTATTTTAGTAGGGATGGGGTTTCATCACATTGCCCAGGCTGGTCTCGAACTCCTGAGCTCAGGCAATCCGCCCACCTCAGCCTCCCAAAGTGCTAGGATTATAGGCATGAGCCACCATGCCTGGCCGGGGGCTTCAATATTTAAATGGAAAAAGTGGGCTGAAAGGGAAAGAGAAAGGGTATGGTCACATTACAGAATCCACAAGTTGCAAGTGAAAAGGAGCAGGTAGGGAAGAGTGAATGATGTCTTCTGGCACTCAGTAAATTAGCACTTGATAAGGTGAACACAGAGCAGCTACCTGTGGGAATATTTCACCATCTGTAGCTCTCTGCTTAGTAACAAAAGAAAAGGCAGCTTCTTGCATGACTCAACTCTCACCTTAATTTTTTCCTTTTGGCACAGTGAATCAGGGTCCCAAGTTTTTTTATTTTCACATTCCCAAAGAAACATAAGGGAGCTTTTGTGGATACCAGGAATATCGTATCTTCACTGGAGGAGCTGGTCACACAGGCATACACACTTGTCAAAACATTCAATGGTATATTTCAGATCTGTGCATTTCAGTGTATGTAAATTTTACCTAACAATGTAAGCTACATATGACAATGCTCAGAATCCTGTGGGAACCTTCCTAAACTCCTTTGGTTACTCCTCTCACTTCCAGGGTGACACTTGAGAGCAGGGAGGGTCTCTGCGAATCCCAGGGTATAACGAGCATGAAATGCGGCCTGGGCTGGGCTGAGTGAGGCTTCAGGGGTCATGCTAAGAAAAGGACCCCAGGACAGAGACATGGGCTGTAGGAAGATGCCCCTTCAGCACAAAACTACATGAGGTAAGTACCCGCCCGGAGCGAGGAATGGACTGGGTGTGGGGCAAGTCACTTACACATCTGGTTGAAATGCAGATTCAGCAAAAAGCCTAATTAATTAATTAATATACACAGAATAAAGGTGGATACTGTGTCCTTCAAACAAAAGAAACTCAAAAAGGGCAACCAGCAAACAAGAGTCTTGGGGTAGCAGGGTAGGAAACTACAACAAATTGTGAGGTGGAGTCTCATTCTAACACCCAGGCTGGAGTGCAGTGGCGCAATCTTGGCTCACTACAACCTCCATCTCCCAGGTTCAAGTGATTCTCCAGCCTCAGCCTCCCAAGTAGCTAGGATTACAGGCACCCACGACCATGCTCAGCTAAATTTTTTGTATTTTCAAAGAGATGGGGTTTCACCGTGTTGTCCAGGCTGCTTTCCAACTCCTGACCCCAAGCGATCCACTTGCCTCAATCACAGGAGATGAGAAAATGGAGAGAATTTTTTAAAATTTCAGTTAAACTAAAACTGAAGTCTTATAGAAAGGACCCACCAAGGCCAGGTTCAATGGCTCACGCCTGTAATCCCAGCACTTTCAGAGGCCAAGGCAGGTGGATCGCTTTAGCTCAGAAGTTTGAGATCAGCCTGGCCAACATGGCAAAACTCTGTCTCTACCAAAAACAAAAACATTAGACAGGCATACTGATGCATGCCTGCAGTCTCAGCTGTTCCAGAGGTTGAAGTGGGAAAATCAATCATTTGAGCCTGAGAGGTCAAGGCTGCAGTTAATCAGTACTGTACCACTGCACTCCAGCCTGGATGACAAAGAAAGACCCTGAAGGAAAAGAAAGAAAGAAAGAAAGAGAGAGGCCGGGCGCGGTAGCTCACGCTTATAATCCCAGCACTTTGGGAGGCCGAGGCGGGTGGATCAAGAGATTGAGACCATCCTGGTCAACATGGTGAAACCCCGTCTCTACTAAAAATACAAAAATTAGCTGGGCATGGTGGCGTGTGCCTGTAATCCCAGCTACTCAGGAGACTGAGGCAGGAGAATTGCTTGAACCCGGGAGCCGAAAGTTGCGGTGAGCCGAGATCGCACCACTGCACTCCAGCCTGGGTAACAAGAGTGAAACTCCGTCTCAAAAAAAAGAAAGGTGGGGGGGAGGGAGGGAAGGAAGGGGGGGGGAGAAAGGAAGGGAAGGAGGGAGGGAGGGAGGGAGGGAGGGAGGGAGGGAGGGAAGGAAGGAAGGAGGGAAGGAGGGAAGGAGGGAGGGAGGGAGGGAGGGAGGAAAGGAAGGGAAGGGAGAAAGAAAGAGAGAGAGAAAGGAAGGAAGGAAGGAAAGAGAGGTCCCACCAAGTGTTGAGCAGGTTTACTAGGAAAGCATCCTCACCTACCTACACATTGCTTGGTGAAATATCAGAATTCTAAAGATTAAGAGAAAATCCTAAAAGCTGAGAGACAGGGCGAACACAAAGCTGACACTGACGAGAGAAAAATCAAACAGGTTCCAATATTCACCCAGGATACTGGAAAACAATGGAGCCAGGAGCATCAAAGTTCTGAGGGAACTAGCAAATAAATGACAACGTTTAAAAAAAATAGATAATGACTCCAAGATTACCACTGACAAATACTGCTGTAAAAAAATAAAAAATGTCATGCAACAAAATTTTTTTTAATTCCTAGGAACGCCAAACCCCACAGGAAGCCAGAGGGCAAGAGAGTCCACAGAAGCAGGGCACAGCCGTCAGCCTACTGGAGAAGGGCAGAGTGGAATGTGGGGCGGGATGGGGAGAGATGGAGACACCTCGTAGTCATCTAGCCCCCCGCACTGAAAGTTATCCTGAGAAGCTCTTAGTTCTAAAGTGAACTACCTGCAGCTCAGTGAGACGAGACTACTTAATCATCATACAGAATTTGATGAATGTGTGTTTGGC